CGGGCCCCCCGCGGGCTCGAAGCGCAGCCCCTCTGCTTCCTGGATGGCAGTGACAAGCTCGTCCTCAGAAACGCCGCCCTTCCCCGGGGACTCGGAGGCAGATGGTTCTGTCGTCCCACAGAGGGAGAGAGCCGGAGCGCACACACGGACAGACAGATGGACAGAGAGAGAAGAAATAAAACAGAATTCCATTAGGGAGCTGTTACGCTGTTGCTTGAGAAACATAACTTAGCATTAGCACAAAAATAGTCTGTTTCCAGGGCCACGTTGGAAAGCCAGGCCACCTGAACTTAAAAGGCTAATTGCTGTTGTGGCCCAGTTAATCGGTGCTTTTCATGCCTGTCTGTCTTCATCTAGCTATTTAAAAATGACCCGGCGTTTCTTAGCAATAGAAGCCCAGTTAGCTTTCTTGATTCTGTGCAACCAATACTTTAGGTCATTGTTTTATTTTTATTTTTTTATTTTATGTATTTGGTACAGCGTCTCGCTGCACAGCTCTGACTTGTAGTGTTCCTCCCTTCTCAGCCTCCCTAGCGCTGGGATTACAGGCCTGTGCCACCATGCCCGGTCTGGGCCCTAAAAGTTCATTGTTTTAATTTCTGATTCTTTCTCGGGAAAGCTTTTCAACTTCAGATTCCATCAGCTAATCTGGTCATAGATCTCTAATTGGCCCACCAATATTAACAAATCGAAAAGCCAACCATTATTCAGTTGATGTTTTAGGAACGTTGGCGCCTTGTGCATCACGTGAGTTTTGAGCTTTACTTTTCTCCTAAGAACCACTACTATTAATTACTCTTTTTTAGTGGAAAGTGCGGCTTGATGGAGCAATGTAAGAGATGGCTTTTTCCTGTTCACCAACAGGCTGTGCAGATGACCCTCGGCACCATCCTGCTGGGATTCCAACACTGGCCACTCACTACCCTGGTTCATCTCTCTTCCTCTCTTGTTAAAGAAGGGCAGAGAAGTCACCCCTAGTCTCCTGGGTGAAAGCCTGCCTCCCACATGATGTTTACCCAGATGGCCTGAAAGTTACACCAGCAATCTTTCCCTGATCTTTCCCTCCCTTGGATGAATAGACCTGGAATCACAATGACAACAGTGTTCAGGAGTTTAATTGTTGCCCCCCTCCCCCCATAGAGCAGGGCCTTGTTTCAGAATATCTTAACCATGGTCTCTGGTCTTTCAAGTATGAGAACTGGTTGCTTGAAGCTTTCTCCAAAGGGTTAAAGTCACCAGGGAGATCAAGGGATGTAGAAGAATGGATTTTATGTGACTAGATCACCTGTTGTCACACAATTGTGAGAGAATGAAGACTCCAATGCATAAAACAGTTTAAGTGTCTCTAATATTCTATCAAGTGGAAGTAATGTTATGCATACTTCCTTCCTTCATCCAGTCTTGTGTGTGTTCTCTGTCTTAGGCCCTCTTCCATTAGGCTAGGGCATATTAGCGAATGAGATGGATAACAAGGTCCCTGCTTCTATTCTGGTGGAGGGAACACAATACATAAACAACATACACAATAAATAGGTGAAACATGTAGTCTGTTAGAAGACGGCAGGGCAATGGGAAAAGTGGAGCAGGGTAAAGGGTAAGGAATGTGTGATGAGTTAAACAGGCTCATCCATATGTGTGACCCATCAGAAGCTAAGGCTGTGACCCAGTGGCTGCTCTTGAAGGAGCCCAGGGAGTGACTCAGGAAGCTGTCTGGATGAGGGGCTTGCCAGGCCCAGGCCCAGGGGACGGCTAGCGCACGTGTCTGGCAGGAAGAGCTGCACCGATTTCTAGATATGGAAAGGGCGGGAACTGAAGAGAGTAAAAGCAGAGGTCAGAGGCAGAGCAGGGCCACACCTCACCTTTTATTCTGAAGGAAAACAGAAGTCATTAGTGGGCTTTGAGTAATGATGAAAGGACTTAGAACTACTTCATCATCTCTCACAAATTCATTTTTAAAGAATTTGTTGTAGGATCTCCAGCTCTACTTTTCTAACAGTTAGCTCCTTAATAAGCCGTGCACATGGCTCTGCTGACTTCAACAGCCTCCCTGCGAGTGAAAGTTACACCAGCGCTGTTCTGAATGGGCAGCTAGAGCAGGGAGACAGGGCAGAGCCAGCGTCCACTGAGAAGCACTCTGCGTCTCCTGTGCACTTGAAGCAGCACCACTGTCACTGCCCCGTCTGTTAGGATCTGCTGGGCGACAGAGGCCGTGCTTTGACTCGGTGGCAGAAGGTCCTCGAGCCTGTCCCTTCAGGTGTCCTATCCTTCCCTCTCACCCCACTTGGATTCATTCCCATCTTTCTGTGCCTGGTTCTGTGTCCTGAAAGGCTCACCTGCCACCTAAGCAGTGCCTGGGAGCCCCTCCCCTCCGGTTTCCGGCTGGAAGCACCAAAAGGCAGGGAGGCAAAAATGTGGAGGTGCTTGTCCCCTCTGCTGCTCTGCCTCTTGGCAGCTTCAGCCATGCTTGTCCCTTCCTGCCCCTGCTCCTTTGGGTCTCGGGGTGTTAATGTTGGCTGGTGTTGAGGTTCACCACCCTTTGTTGATTCTTTTAACCATATTTACACATCTGCAAATAGGCCCTTCCTTAAATTCTTCAGGTACAGCCTTCACACGTGTCAAGGTGGGCTGTCTGCCCAGGCTTTAAACATCAGCCCCACATGGCTAGAAATGATGGGGCCTGAACTAGAGCCCATTTCTCTTCCTATGTTCTTCACTCCATCATGCTATCCCTGTTTAAAAAGGAAGTGGGGCCCGAGATGGGACCAGTTATAATCTTAAGGAGGAGAAGAAAAGTGACATGGGTAGTCACATGCAGAAGAGGAAGCCCCTGCCCCATAGCATATGTACCTTAGTTTCTGATGGGTCAGTAACTTAAGTAAGAGCTAACAACTGTAGACAAAAGCATGGAATTAAATCTTCACAACTTTTAATTAAGACAGTAGGTTCTTAGGTATGGCACCAAGACCAAACAACAAAAGGGAAACTTGGCTTCACAAAAACTAAGCACTACTGAACTGGGAGTACATCTCAGTGGTACAAGGCTTGCCTAACATGCACGTGAATCAAACGACTTTGTTCTGCACAAGAAGAAATCAAGAAAATGAAAGCCACATACACAGGATTGGGAAAAATCTGCAAATCTCATTTCAGGTGAAGGATTTCTATCTAATAAAAATAACCTCCAAATTACAAAGAGACAAAGGACTTGAACAGGCAGTTCTCAAGAGAAGACATACAAATGGCCAAAAAGCACATGAAAATATGCTTGGCATCATTAGTTACCAGAGAAATGCAAATCAAAACCACAATAAGAGAGTATTTTATGTGAGCTTCGATGGCCATGCTCAGAAAGTCAGACAACTCTGTTAACAAGGGTGTGGAGAAATCAAAAGCCCCAGACATGGGAATAAAAACTGGTGCGATTATTGAAAAATAATCTGGCCGTCCCTCAAACATTTAAACACTGAGTTTGTATGTCCATGTCAAAACGTGTACATGAATGTTTATAACAGCATTCTTCACTATAATTTCCAAAAGTGGAAGCAACCTAATTTTTCTCAACTAATGAATATTAAAAAAAAAATGTGAAAAAATGCTGTATATCCTTTGAGGCAGAATATTATTTGACCAAATAAAGAAATGAAATGAATATGTTAAAACCATTGAAATAAATATAGAAAACATGGGAGTTATATGCTCTGTGTATTATATTTCTTAGTAAAGAGTAAAAGAAAAAAAAATGAGAAAAGGCTTGGCCATGAACCTGCATCGAGGGGCCTGTCAAACTTGTATAACACAAGAGCGAGAACCAATTTTATTCATGCTAAAGCCAGCATGACTCAAGGATTTATCTCAGTCTGAACGAATATGGCCTTTCAGTCTGGACTGCACTGTCACTGGGAATCTCTGGGTCACTTTTGAGCTCTAGTCTTCTGTGACATTTTACCCTTCCTCCTTAGCTTCTACAAGATTCTCTTCTTGCTCCTTCTCAGATTTTCTTCCTAACTCACTGATCTCAACTACCTTTAATTTTTTTTCTTCAGAGATTCTGTTTTGTTTGTTGAGCTAGTGTCTTGTGTCTTGCTATGTGCTCCAGCTGGCCTCGACCTCACTATCTCTGTGGCCCAGCCTAACCATGAATTCTCGGTCCTCCTGCCTGGACCTCTGCTGGATTACAGGTGTGAGGTGCACCCCACCCAGTCCACTCAGCCACCTTGTGAAAAACATCACTTGCTCTCCAGGTGCTAAATGCTGGCCTCCCCAGAACTCCACCTGGGCCTTCTTCTCACTCCCTCCTTCCATGGTGACTCTACCACTTCGATGGCCACCACTGCTAGTCTGTTACCGCCTTCATGCTGATGACTGACAACTTTCTGTTCTAGAGAACATGAAGTGAGCAAGACAAAATAGAGTGGGGAATACACAGTTCCAGAGGAACTTAGGGGAAGTAACTGAGGAACGTGCATTGAATTGGTCTTGAAATAAATGCAG